TGGAGATGTGAAAGAATTAATTTTGACTGGTACCATTTGCAAGAGAAATTAATTATTTGAAATAATAATTGATTAATTATAAAGGTTTCAATTACAAAAGCGCTCTACTGCACATTAGGTGTTTAGAAGATTCATTGTAATGGATGTACCTATTAAATTTGAATTGAATAATCATTGTATTCAAAAATGGTTCTGAACAAAGACCTTTATCAGCCTATGATTGTGATTAAAGTACTTTGTTTTATTATCAGGCATTAGTATTACTATAAGTTAAAATATTTTTTGTCGGAAAATTTGCATTTGAAAATGTCATAATGTGTATAAAATATAATAATACCTACACATTACTTTAAAAGACCAAGTAGCCCATGAATAATATTTTCAATCACAAAAAAATGATAAAAATTGTTATTCTTTGTTTAAATATCTAATTTTTCCAAGATTGAACTTAAAATGTCTATAAAAAAATTGTTGTGCTTGTTTATGTTTTAGATTTTTHTGTTACAGTTACAATATAATAATATTTATGGTTTTAAATTTTCATTTGTCAGTTTAWAGAAAAAACATTTTATAAATTTTTAACTACATAAWTACATTTTCCAGATTTTTATGAATTTTATATAAATTTGAACTTTTAAACAATTATAAAAGAAAAATTGTAACCATAAATCCTGAATATTTATCAACTGGTATATTAAAACAATTTATAAAGATAAATATTTTTACCTAAAGAAAAAAATGCATTGACTTTTATAGAAAAACAAAATTAAAAAAAKACGAAAATATCATTTGTCAATAAATAGCTTAAAACAATAATTATTGAACTATGTAAGTACATATAGAAAATGATAAATTAAACATTGGGTGAAAATTTAAAATAGGTTATCAGTTATCTGTATGGTTAATAATTTTTAAATTACCATATAATAAGAATATATTATTTAGATTAACGGTTGAATATCCAATGTTTATCTTCAAATRCTCTTAAAAATACTCATAGAACATTTGATATGAATTTCTAACTCAAAATAATTTGCAATTTTTCGTGATTGTTTCAAGAATTTCCTCAAAAGACATTTCGAAAATATTGTGGATTTACGCTCAATTTTTTTTTTTGAATTTTCACCAATCACAATTTATGGTAACGATGAACTTGTATTACCTACATTTTTAAATTTTTGACTGAGAGGACATTTTTTATCGACCATAATTAAGAAAAACTAATAAAATCGAAATTTTTTCTGGCAGACGTGGTATTTCAAATTAAGGCAAGAATCAAGGACCAAGGCACATACCCAAGTATTTAGCTGAATTATTTTGAGAGATTCTGAGATCCATCAACACCTGGAGATTTTCAGTTTTATATAATGTACCACCTATATATACCTTACTGCACTGACTTATTATTAATCMCTATATATAGTATATACCTAATATTAAAATTGTTTTACTTTGTTTAAACATCCAATTTTATCTAAAATTGAATTTCAAACACAAAAGAAGTTATGCCCAGCTGTTACTTTAATTATATTAAAATTGCTTAAAGAATATACTTAAAATATGGGATTGTTATTAAATTTTCAAGCTTTCAGACTATGTCGAAGACTCGAAGATGTGGCCACGCCACTGGATGATTATTTCAATTCAATCATAAAATAGGTAAAATCTATGGTTATTTGTTTTAAATATTCTTTATTAATTTTATGTATGAGGATGTTATATCCGAATGTATTGTTACCGTCTTACAAGTACGTAAAGGTGCGTCTCCGCTGCATAGACCGCTCGGYTTTCATTAATGTTTATCGACAACCATCCGGAAATCGTGTCCCCACTTGCGTGCGGCTTTTATGACCGATCGGTCAAAGTCACAAATTCAATGTGAGTTGTCAATTGTCAGTACCTAAACATCAAAGAAAGCCTCTCCCCAGTGGGGACACGCCTAAACATACCAAATTTTACGCTCACCAGATCTCGTTTAGCTCCATTAGTTTAAAAAGTATAGCGAACTAGAATTCTTAAAAAATTTAGGGTATTATACAGACGAGATCATAGGCTTTTTAATATATTTTATTTTTGAAGCGAGTTATAAGAATTTTTAAAATTGTAAACTGTATATACATCTATAATTGGTATTCGTTTCAAAATTAAAATATTATAAAAAGCTCTAGAGGTTCTCAAAATAATAACTAACCATTAGCGCACACTGGGGGGGTCAGGGGTGTCGACTGACACCYCTCAGAGAATTGGTGGGTGACTGGTTCTGGGTGAATTCGGATGTTATTTTGATAAATATTTTAATTTAATATTAATTGTATAAAGAGTATAAACTCAGATTTTACTTGTGGGGTGGGTGGGTACCGCGAGATATATATTTTCGACACCMTTGTGAAAAATCTACTGTACGCTACTACCGCCACCGACTATAACTACACCTTTAAATTTTACAAAGGTCAATTCACTCTAGTCAAACTAACGGAGCTAAAGTGATCTGCTGAGTGCTGAACATAAATTTGGTATGTTACGCACTCGTAACTCGGAGACAACCCGTAAAGGCGTCAACACATACGTATAACGTTTTCTTTAAAATAAATAATTAACCAATGAGATTTTTATATCTGATCCACTCAATGTACACAAAAGTAGACTACATCAAACATACCGATTACTAGATGTTGAAGTTGAATGTCGAAATATTTGAACTCTCCAAAAGACAATAACTAAAATCACTGATGAGTGATGACAGACACAAAATAAAATAAATTAACAAGTGGATAAATACCATTATARCGCTCTACTCTACAGTAGGTGTCGAGTGGGTCACTAGCTGTTATGAATGTGTTAAATTTGAATTCAACTGTTTAAATCAATGTATACGAAAATCGATTCTATCCGTCAGCCTATAACAATGATATAGTTAAAATAATCAAAACATCTAAATACATTCTGTAAAAATGTAATTTTTACTAATAGCCATGAATTAATGTTTTCCTAAACATTACATATAAAACAGCCATTATACTTATAAAATATACTAAAATACTTTAAAATGATTTCAAGTGTTTGAATTTACGAATTAAATTCATAAATAACGAAAAATATTTAAAATCATTATTTTTTTTGTTTAAAAATCGAATGTCCTGAATTTGAACTTCAAATAAATATCCATGAATTAAAACTGTGTAAATATTTTTTTAGGTGTTTTGGTTAAGTACAGTATGTAAGTATGTTTACAGTATGATATATGAAGCGCTTACGAGAAACCTTGTATTTGATTTTCAATTCTTACCTATACCTACGAAAAACGATTCTGAGTAGAGACGGTTTATCAGTCTAGGATATGGTATACTATATTAATTTATTATATTTTTATTATTTCAAAAAAAAAAAAAAAAAATATAGATACCTATAAATTCCTAATTAATCAAATCATATTCATTATGTACCAAACAACCCAACTCCTTCAGTCATTCATAAATAGAATATACAATTTATTATAAAGTATTAATATAAATCATTAACTGATATAATATTAGAATATAAAGTATGCTCTATAAATTTAAGTATCTACGAATAATATTTTTAAATTATAACTATAACTAAAATTATTATTCTTGATTATTAATTAATAGATACGTAATTTCATCTAAATTTGAACTTAAAATAAGTATAAAAAAATTGTGTTTGAATAGTTTAAGATTTTTTTTTCCAGCAGAATTATMTACTTATATGGAACCTTGTTTTAAATGTTCAATCTTTAGCTATACAATTAAACCTTATATATATTTTTAACAACTGAAGAATTTGTACATTTTCAATTAAATACATTTTATCAAAATTTTAAATAGTTAAAAAAAGAAACGTGCTTATGTATTTCTAATATTTTCCTACTGCTATTATATAAACATATGAGGAACTTTGTATTCAATTTTCAAGGTTTTTGACCCAACGGATAAAATTTTATTGCCATTATAGAATAAAAAAACACGGTAAATTTCAAATGTCTATAAATAACTGAAAAATTGTATCAAGTATAGGAATTGATAAAATAACCATATGATGTTAATATAAATTATCTACAGTTATTCGTTTTTGAATAACAACAAAATAAGAATATCAGTACGAGAGAAATTGAGCGAATATCCAATGTAATTCAAATGCCCATAAAAATTTAAATTGATTGTCTGCMGTCTGGTAGACATATTTTATTTGATAAAAGTAGACAAACTCTTGAAGAATTGAATTGAATTTTCAACTCTTAGATTTAAATAGATAATTTTTTATTAATTTCTCACTCAATATAAATTTACAAAATGTTAGGTTCATAAATTTGTAGAAATGTATTTTAAATTTTATTTTAAATTCTACAAATAAAAATTTAAGAAGAACCTAGTATTATATTTCTAAGTTTTTTAACTGATTCTTTATCAACTATAATTAAAAAAAAATTTATTTGCCTATCAATTGATCAAAAATAGTCAAAATATTTTATCAAGTATATAAGTTTATAAAATAATCAGATAGTGAAAATTATATGTATTTATAGTTATTTTTACTAACTCCAACAATTAAAATCCATCATAAAAAGAATGTAACCGTATTTTTTTTTACGACTAGATCCTTCGGTATGCACGTTACTAATAATAAAATTAACGACAATGTGATAATAAGGGTGAGCAAGAGACTTATTGCGTGTACTAAAATTAAATTTGGACTTTTGACTTTTCAAMTTTTGTAGTCTTACCGTGTAGCTTATACCTACCATGAGTCATGACCATGGAATAACATACCGAGACCGACTATCGAGTATTCGAGTATCAAGGTTTTCGAAAACAGGCCTTGAAGAGTCTGAACACTGAAGTAGTGAAGTAAAGTTGTTGCTTATTTGTGATAATATATATTATGTTATCAGAGTTATTCGTGATCACATATCTGATTAAATATGTTATCTCAATGAACGTTTATCACTGACCACTAACCRCATTGTCCTTCTCTATGACCGGACGATTGTGACGTGTTTACCGTGGAATAGATTAAATGATAATGATTTGGTTTTGGCCCAAAAATTCAATTGCCGGAACGTCTATCGTGAGTCGTGAAAGGTTATTGTATTCTAAGGTCAAGGTTTTTCTTCTTATGACCTCATGATTGACTAATTTTCGTACGTGGTAAAAGTAGTATGGAAAGTATTAGCGGCGATAAAATACAGAAGACACTCGTGACACCGGGTATTGGTGGTCAGCCTACTTTCTCCAACGGAACAAAAGTAAGTCGAAATAAAAAGAAATCCTTTTCCTGTTTCGTGTTCTTTGATGTGCATTCAGTTCTTACTTTTTTTTTCGTAGGTATCGTTTCATTTTGTGACGCGAGTTGTTAGCTCTAATACTGTGATAGACGATAGTTACAAATGGCCAAAGCACATGGAAATCGTATTGGGAAAAAAATTCAAATTAGAAGTCTGGGAAATTATTTTAAAGTCAATGCGTGAAGGAGAAATTTCGAAATTTATTGTTCACAAAAGTGTGAGTATACCAATTATTTAAAAGATAAATTATTATTGGCTATTTTTTTTTTTTAAATTACTTATGCGATTAATTTGGCTGCATGTTACTTRTGCTATTTTAGAACAATATTGACATACAATAAAAATAACATATAAATAATAAATAATATTATTCAATTTATTTTTTAAGTACCTACTACTAAATTCCATTTTGATTAACATAAATACTAATACTTATACCTAGTGATTTATTTCTACTACCTATACTTACTGAATATTATTGATGTTTGGTACTAGCTATAGTAAATTAAAAACTGAATTATTAAGAAAACTGACATTTGCCATTCAATTATACTTTGGACTATTGAATTAAATATGAGTWTTCTTAAAATAAATTATCATTTAATAATTTATAACATAATATAAGCCATTAAGACCTCTTTACTTATATCATAATAAACTATGAAACATTTTCTGCTATTCTATACATATAGGTTTCAATAGGTTTCTATAGGTTTAAAGATATCTATGATTTTAATAGTACTTACCTATTTAATTTTTATTATTCTATCTTTAAAGATATCTACTACTTAATATTTAATATACCTATTTTAGCTTTAATGTTTAAATTACTTAAATAGTTTTAATAATAATTAGATATACTTAAGAAGAAAAAAAAGTTTAATAAATTTAAAAATATTTGGATCAAATTCACTAAAAAAAATGATATTTTAGTAGAAATGTGTGATTAATATCAAGTATATTGCTATATTGCATGCATGATACCAAATAACTAAATTTGGTATGATTATGTCTTAAATTAACTGATTATTTGTATTTATTGTTATTAGAACTGTTACCTATTACCTTTTATTTTTACTTTAATAATGCATTATTCAGTTTTTATTAATGARTCATTTATGTACATATAGGTTCATATTTTTATGTAATATGAAATGTTATGTAATATAATATCATATATCATAATTTATAATTAAATGGTTATTATGGCCATAGTTCATAAATTAACTTGTAGTATTTAATTATGTTATAAACAAATAAACATATTTCATGTTATGTAATCAATCAAAATAATTAATGTTAAAGTAATGATACTATTACCAATATTACTAATTTAATTATTATGTAATATACATTTCTAGAAATTACATTATAATAGTCGGTAGGCTTTTAAAATGTTTAATTTTAATATTGTATTGAAATACTTAAATATATAATCATATTATAAATTAATATTAGTTTTGTTTATTACAACATAATATTCTGTGTAAAATATAAATTACATCTATAATTCATTTTCATAATTTATATGTTTAAGAGGATATCATAGCATGTGTTGTCTTTGTCTTATTAACAGATAATGTATGGACTTTCCARTGGTAAAACTAACAGACCAAGAATTAATCAGTTTGTGTTTCTCTAGGGTCGATAGAACTGTTTTACTATTTTTACTAATCATCCTTTAATCCTTGAAAACAAGGATTGACTGGTTTTAAATAACATTAAAAGTAAACCTTATAATTTTTCTTCAAAATTTTTACAATCAATCTATTAAGTATTAGGTATTATGTTGTCGGAAATTAGGTGACTAGAAAATTMTATAATGGATCTGTTAAATTTAAATCCAATGATATAAAATCATTGAAAACGAAAAACGATTCTGAGCGAAGACGGTCTGTCAGCCTATTATATTACTAAATAAATTGTATGATATCGTTGTGATTAGAGTAATTAATTTTACTGTTAGATATTAGAGTTAACGTAGATTAAATTAATTTTCGTCTAAAAACATTGCATTTGAAATTGTCAATGTGTTTATAAAATATAATAATATGCGTTTAAAATTTCAAGTACCTACCCCAAAAAAATATTTTTAAATTACAATAAAACAACTAAAATCGTTATTCTTCATGAGAATTAATTCATAATTTCGTTTAATTTTTTTAGATAATATTTTAGTTGCAGTATAAATACAAGAAACCTTGTTTGAAATTTCTAATATATATAGCTATATAAATTGAAAATTGTACTAATGTTTAACGTAAAAATCAATTGCAAATTTTCAATTTGATAAATTTGAACTCGAAATGCTTCTAAAAACAAATCTTGCCTGTATTTTTAAACTATTTTTTATTAGTTTGTTAATTACTCGTGGAAACAGGCCATTGTGTGGTTATTCTTATAGTAGATTTTTAACTGTGGGTGGTCGGTACGTTCGTACGATAGATTGATAACACATGTATATGTGTAGCAAGGTTTTTCCACTAAGCACCTGGGTGGTCACCCATCCGGGAACTAGGGGCAGCGGGCGGTGCTCATTCTCATCACGTCGCGAGACTGATTAAAGCAACCGAGCTACCTGTTGTTGTAATGTGTGAGAAGCATTATTTAAAATGTTCAAGCTTGTTGACCCAACGAATAAAATTTTATTCACCTTTATTGAAAATTTCAAATGCCTGTAAACAGTGTAAACAGATAAACTTTAAAATATTTTAAAAATTATATCAAGTATAAAAAGTAATAAAATTAATACTTTATGTAAATTTCAAGTAAAGTATTAGAAATTGAGTATAAATATTCATTGTTCTAAAATTTGTACTTCAGACGCTCATAAAAATTAAATTAGACTTTCCGGTAGACATTCAAAAAAAAAAGTATGTTCACGTATGAGAAAACTTGTATTCAATTTTTAAATCTTCGATATGAAAATATATGCAAAATGATTTGCACATTTTTGTGGTTTTTTTGTACTTAGTTAAAAGTTTTACTTCAGACACTCGTAAAAAATTACTGTGGATTCACGATTATTTTTTTTTTTTTCCACTTGCAATAATTTATTAGGAACCTTATTTTAAATTTTTTAGTTTTTTAATCAAACAAATTTTTTTTTTTTGATATTGATGTGAATAACAAAATTAATAAAAATCAAAAATTTCTTATGCTTTTAAATAGTCAAAATATTTTGAAAATTGTATGATGACTATGATGTAATTATAGAAAATTCTTATATAAAAAAGGTCATGTATTAATGCTAATTTTTTTAGAGTTACACCGAATACCATTTCGATTTTATGTAAAAGTCCCTTTTTTCATTAATTAATTTTTAATTTCTCCCTATTCTTTAGAAAAATACTAGCAATTTGAAATTCTAGATTCACTTTCTCGTCAAATATTCAAATCAGGTGATGAAGTTGAAAATCTAAACATTATATCGACTTCTTGTCGTGCTCCGCTCAGAATCTAAAATATTATCCGCGTAGCGTTGTAGATACTTTCATTTGTTTTTATGCTAAAAATCATCAGCATGTAAAATAATATATAAAGTATTGTAAAAAACTTACGATTGAACACAGATAATGTTCTTATCATAAATTTTGATGATGGATTAATTTACTTAAATATTAAAGCTAAAACCAACACATTAGACATAATATATGTATGAAAAAAAGTTTGCTATATTTTCCATTTGTGTGTGATGTCCTGTTATCAATTTGATGTTTTAATAATAATATAGTACTTTAAATTAAGAATTGTTTTATAAGGGAAAAATTAAAAATAAATCTGTTGTTTGGGGTTTTGGAATAATTTTCATTTAATTTTGGAAGCAATGATGATGCCTATCAGTATTTCTTGAATACAAAGATAAATTAACTACCCAACTATAATAACTATAATTATCTCATTTTATCACCTTAAGTGTTTGGGGAGAAGGTACTTAATTTAATCGAACTAGTACTAAAACAATATAATTTATCAATAGGTTATCTGAGTATAAAAAAATTAATATTTATTTTTAATTGTTGTAAATGTCATGTTGAAACAAAGAAGAATAGGTACTAGACTGATGTTTGATGGCAAACATTCACTCCCCTTTCATTTACTATATATATATATATATACTTTAGTATATTAAGCTTAATACATTTTAAGAAAACTTTTGGTGGATATCAAAAACTAGTTAAATACTCCTTGAAAAAATTGTCAGTTTTTCCTAATTTTTTAAAAACTAGTTAAATATTTTTATTTCCGTATAATTTTTCATCTAGCCGAACTATTGGTATTGAAATATATGTGTATTTAAAACAATAACCTACTACTATGCGAAATCAATGCCTAGATAATGTAATGTTGTTGTTCACGTGTCGAAAACATTAATGAATATTTTGAAAAAAGTTTTGACCATTTATTACATTATAAATGTTTACTAATAATAATATGAATTAGAACATTTGTTTTTTTTTGATTTATTTCGTAACAATTTTAATCGTTGTTTGAATCAAAAATCAATCCTATTCCTATATAAGGAAATGTTTTAAGTTTGGTTATGTTTTTACATGATTCATAATTATAAATTATTCTTAAGATCGCCACCAGTAGAATTTTTTCAACGTCGYCTTACATGCGTAGAATATAATTGAACAATTTCTTTGTATTCAACTCATTGGGACATTTTCAAAATCACGGTTTTGTGAACTTAAAGTAGGAATTAGAACTTAAMAGATTGGAGACTTCAYAAAAATCAATATATTATATTAAAATAAGCTTCTGATCAAATATTACTCCTTATAATTATTTTAAATGATGTTTTATGATTTATAATAATAGATAATGATACTTTAATTTTAATAATGTATTAGTAAAAAATTCATTGAGTTGAATACTAGAAGAGGGTATTAATAATATCTCTATTTGTTTTAATCAGAATAAAATATTTATAAATGTGTTGCCCTCTTAAGTTTAAATTAATTTTACATAAATATATTATGTAGATCAATCGTCATAAAATAACATAATTTTCAATAGTTTTTTGTGTAGTATATAAAATAMTTTTGATAATTTATTTAAATTATTGGATATATATAACATATTATGTATTATATCAAAAATAGTACTGTCAAATCTGAGGTAACTAAATGTGCCTATTTGAGTTCCAAATTTTAATAATAAAAGTAGTTCGTTAAGATTTTGGAGGTTTTTAAAAATCTACTTATATTCTGTAGGTAGTCTGAAAAGTCACTAGATTTAACATAATATTTACAATTTATGACTGTTAAAAGTTCATGCAACACATCCAAAAGGTCGGCAAGCCTCTTAAAAGTAGACTTTTATCGATTATGCACCGATGTAACTATGTTGGTATTGTGGTTATGTAATATCCTTATGTGTAATTAAAATATTTGCAAAAGTTTCCGATAGTCAGTCTAACATACAGGCAAGGATTCAGGTCAAAAACATCAATACAGTGTGCAATGTGCATTGATTTGAAATACAGTTTTTATATCACTGGTATTATATAGTAGTTATCATGTATTGGGGTGGGGGGGGGAGACAAGGCTCCCTGGACCCGTTCCTGTTAATTTTTTTTTAMATTTACGTATAGACTGAATAAAAAATATAAAAGGCTTGAATTTATGAACATGGCTTATGTGAGTAATTATTACTTATAAGTAGTTATAACCATTATCTTTTAAACTACAACTCAAATGTGAATTATTGACTTATGTATTTAACCAGAAGTTTCTAAAACTGTATTTCGGAAAAACCCAGGGTTCTGTGAAACTTATTTTATTGCAAATAATCTGTACATAACATGATGCATTAAAATAATTGAATCAAATTGTGGTTCTAATTGTTGAAAGCTAAATAAAAAATGCTATGAAAAAAACTTAATGGTTCCACGATGAAAATAGACGTAAAAAGGGTTCCACATAAAAAGCATTTGAAACGCTGATAGAAAGAAATTTAACAAAAAAGTCAAACATACCAAAAAGATCTTAAATTAATTAATTTGGAAAAATGTTAACCTTAAAGTTTATCTTATGGGTGTCAGAACCATTACTCAAAGTCTCAAAGGTTATTCATCGATGAAATTGATTAATATTCATTGATGAGTAAGTGGTAAGCGTATTTAATGTAATTATGGTATAAGTACCAACTACTAAAAATATAGTAAATATAATAGTGTAATTTTATAGAAAATAATCGTAAACTTGAACATTTATTTTATGAACCCTAACGAGCAGGCCAACTTTGCGAATAGCTTAATATAATGATTTTTTTGATTTTCCATTCAATTTTGTTAATATTTATCCATTTGAATCTTCTATCAATCAATAAAATATTAAATGATTAACATTATATCGGTTGTATATCAGAAGATAGCTATAATATACTTAAAGAGTTGTGTTGGTTGAACATCAAAGGCGGTTTTAATGTTGTTATATAATTGTGTCAGACGTCTGACGTCACCTTTATGAGCAATTAAATTAAATTGCTTGGATTTTTTCAAATTTGAGTTTARGTTGGTTAAAGGAAGCATGTTGGATCTAGTTAGTACTTTTAGAAGTCAAATATAAAAATTACTTTTTATTGTAAGCTTAAAAAAAAATTACGAAAAATTATTTTTTGGTTTTATTATTTGTTGAAGTTAATGCAAAATGAAAAATCGTAGAAATTTGAAATTTTTACTGAAAAAAAGAAAATTATCACTTATACAATTATTTTCTAAACATTGTAGGTGTACTTTTCAAAAAGAAAAAAATTGTTCTACTTAGGTATCTGTATAGATATTTTATATTTTTTATTTCGGTAATAATGTTTACATAATTATAATTTTTTCAACTAATGATAACATTTCTGTTTATTAGAAATAGTTGAGTTTTTTAATTGGCTATCAAAATATTTGAAAATTGAATACAAACAAGAGAGGCTTCATGAGTTGATCTTATTGCTGCAATTGAAAAATAATTTTGTGGTTATAATTTTATACTATTTTCAATTTCAATGTTATAGTCTTAAAAATCTAATTAGTACAAGATTCCTTGTATATTTTTCTAATCTTAGCTTAACAAAAATATATGATATGCTCAATTTTTTTATAGCCGTTTCAAATTTAAATGTTGAAGATATTAGATGTTTAATCAAATCATAATGGTTTTAGTATATTTTGTTCTACTTCAAAAAAAAAAAAAAACTTACACCTTAACTTACATCATTATGTATATTATTATTTACAATATATAATAMAATGTTCAATAAATTTAGATTAATTTTAAGCCATTTTTACTTTAGAACTTATTGATTCCGATCTACAGTACGTTATTATTGACTTGTAAGATAACAGCGATAGTAATTTCATAATTATTTTTATAATATATATTCTTATTTTTTTTGGGACAAAATCGATCAACTTACGGTATAATATGAAATACAATATTCGCAGGAATATAGATTGACTAACTTTCTGTTCATAATCTCCTTGTTTATGCACAAAATTGAAAATACTATGATATATATATATCTTTGTTAATACACTTACATTTTATATTGTAAAAAATATGGTAGATTCTGCAGTTTATTATTCCATGTAYATTCTCTTCTATTATTAATTATGTTCACAGTTCTATACAATTTGTACAAAACGTTGATATAGATTTACTTAGAAGTTAGAACATGACAATAATAAAGGTATATTAAGAAGAATGATTGGCTTGTTGGTCAAAATATAATTTCTTTTTAATATGTCACTAAAAAAGATGTACACATTTTGAATATGTAAACAATTATGTCATGTCATAATAGTTTTAATTTATTTAAATTTCAAAAAGACTATATTCTAAATAAACTACTCGTAAAAAAAATAATGTGGTTTGATAAATGAATCATCCGGTACATTATATTTTAGCGTAATAATATTTTATACTTTTGAATTATAYAAGTTTGATATATATAATACATTTACTTCAGTGTAGCCGCAGCTTAATTGTAGTGTATCTACTAAAATATGTACATGATCATAGAATTTATTATTGTATACTGTCTTCTTCTACTCGCGCCTCATTTTTTCGTGCACTTTACATCTAAAGTTCAAACCGTGAACATATATAATTTTCTTTAGYGAGTTTTCAATACCTCAACAGTTTATTCTCTGAATAAAGAGCTATTTACTAAATAATCAAGTATGTTCGCATTTTAAATTTAATACATATTTAAAATTAATATTAATAAGAATAAGAATATATTTTTAAAAACTGTTAATATATTGGTTAGTAAAAAAGTGTAACATATTAATAATTCTATGTATACAAAATAACGCTTCATTCAATACTTTTCAGTTTGATGTTAATTGCTTAAAATAAACAAGACAAAGTCATTAAATATTTTTTACTCCTACTCAAGTTCAATAAGTACTTCGTTAAAAAATTAAAATATACATCGATCTTAAGTTAGTAATTTTGTTTATAGACTCTTTAAATAATATAAGTAGGTAATGTATATTGTTTAAATTATAGTACAGTATACATAACTTCGTTTTAAAAAGTATTGAAAATATTAATTGATTTATGGTAATATATGCTGTTTTTAAATTTTTAAATAATTGTTTTTATCATAATAGTTTTAATTATATACATCTATTGATAAAACAGAGAAAGAGTTAATAGTTCGAGGTCATTTCCTCAGAAATTATCCAAGCCGTCCAAAACATATACTACAAATATAATACTTTTAATTTTTTTTCATAAATACACAGTTTTTAAGATCTAGTTTTAATACTACAAACATGTGCATTATTAAATGCATATTTCTATTTTATAATATATTAATTTAAAATTTCTACATATATATAATTCGGAGTATTTTATTTGAAATCTATAATTAATTTATTCAGTTTAGTCGTTAAGAGGACGTTATAAACACATATTTGCTGTCTCATCCATCTTACAGAGTAACATAGCAAATTTACGCTTAGCAGATCACATTTAATTCTGTTAGTTCAAAAATTATAGTAAATCGACCTATTATGAAACTTGATGGTAAGAACATTATCTGTGTTTGTTGGTGGGTTTTATTGCGATAGCTTAGTCTTTAAATGAATAATGAGCATTTTCAATTTACGCTTTTTATATAGGTACGCATAAATGCCATACAATATTGAACTATCCTAAATAACCCACATGCAAACACAGATAATGTTCTTAACATAAAATTTCATAATAGATCGATGTTCGATTCACTCTAATTTTTTAACTAACGGAGCTAGTAAATTTGCCAAGTTATGCATTTGTAAGACAGAGACAACAAATGGTTTTGTAGCGTCTTTTAAATGACTAACTTGACTTTTTAAATAAAAACGTATATTGTAATTATATCAAATGATTAGCTATTCACAAAATAATCTTACATATTTTAATGTCAAGTTAATGGATGATAGTTTTGGTATTTTCTTAGCTTTTTTCACTCTCTAAAACAGTTTTACTATGATTTTAGTACCTATGAAGATTATTAAAAAAAATTTAAAATATTATATTATATTAAAAAATAGGTATTTTTTAGATTGAGAAGACCATTCATTAAATTAACATCTCATGTATGAATCGAAGTTATACTTTTCGGGAATTGTTTGATATTTTATGGTACTATTATTTTATTTTATATTTATTATAACTGTCTAAATACTAATTTAAAAATAACTATACATTTTTCTTTTTATTTAATAATGATCAAACACATTATAAATAATTTCTTGTTAGTTTTTAAATATATTCTTTTTTAAGTATAAAATCGAAGTTAGTTCATCAATGAATACTGAATAATATTAACATACGTTTAATGCATTGTGATTGTATTCTCTAACTATTGACATTTATTATCCATTCTGGCTCTATGAAATACACAATATACATGTATCAGGTATCTATCTAAAAATACAGGTATTAAATTATATTTTACATGAGAATTGAAACACATTAACATAGTATTGTGTACATCATATACATTTTGAATATTTTAAACATTAAGAGTGGCAACTACCAAGATGTTTGCTTTAGACTTACAAATATAAATTTATAACTGCAATGGCTGTGAAATATGTTTATTAAAATGTCTTCTAAGTGGTTATCTTTTTCTTTTTCCAAATAAGTGCAGATCAGTGTTTGTAGTGATTGTTCTTATTAAAGTTTATTTTTGTTTTGTTTTAATGAACAGGTAAATTAAGATTCCAATCGATTTTTTTTTTATCATGGACCATTGGCCAAAAGATGTCGGAATTCGCGCTATTCATTTCGTCATACCGTCTTTGTAYGTCGATCAAACCGATTTGGAAAAATACGACCAAGTGTCTGAAGGAAAATACACCGTTGGTTTGGGCCAAAAGCAGATGGGATTTTGCACAGACCTCGAAGACGTKAACTCGCTGTGCCTGACGGCAGTCAGTCAGCTTGTAGAAMACAACGGCATTAGCTATTCAGACATAGGTCGCCTAGAGGTGGGCACCGAGACCATAATCGACAAGTCTAAAAGCGTGAAAACGGTTTTAATGAAGCTGTTCGAGCCCAGTGGAAATTTCCAGGTCGAGGGTATCGACACGACGAACGCCTGCTACGGGGGAACGGCGGCCTTGTTCAACGCCCTTTCGTGGATGGAGTCGAGCGCGTGGGACGGCAGGCTAGCCGTGGTGATCGCGGCCGACATCGCTATCTACGCCAAAGGCAACGCTCGACCGACGGGCGGCGCCGGTGCTGTCGCGATGTTAATTGGACCGAACGCTTCGTTGGTKATCGAGAGAGGCCTCCGAGGAACGTACATGAACCACGCTTACGATTTCTTCAAGCCCGACCTGACGTCCGAGTACCCGGTGGTCGACGGTAAACTGTCCATCGAATGTTACCTGAACGCTCTGGACCAGTGCTACAAGTCCTATCTGAGCAAGTGCGATGGCGGCGGCGCTAACGTCGATCTAAATGGATTTGATTCGTTCGTGTTCCACTCGCCGTATTGCAAACTGGTGCAGAAGTCTCTGGCCCGATTGTACCTGAATGATTTCTTGAACAGCGGCGCGAAGGACGAGCATTACCCGGGCTTGGGGGAGTACAAGGACGTGCACCTGCCGGCCACGTTTTTCGACCGGGACATCGAGAAGACGTTCATGGAGCGCAGCAAGACCGTGTACGAGGACAAGACCAAACCGTCGCTGTTGCTGGCGTCTCGTGTCGGCAACATGTATACTGCGTCTGTATACAGCGGGTTGGTCTCGTATCTGATTTCGTTGCCACCAGAAAACCTACCCGGTAAGAAAATTGGCGTGTTCTCTTACGGTTCTGGTTTGGCGTCGTCCATGTACTCGATCAGGGTCGTCGACAACGATTTGTCGAGTCTGATCGGCAACCTGAAGAAGGGCATCGACCGCCTGGAGGAACGGATACGCCTCACGCCCGAACAGTTCACGGAAGTGCTGGAAGTCCGTCAAAAGTCTTTGCACCAAGCACCCTACACGCCGGTCAGCAACAAGGACCAGCTGTTCCCTGGCACGTGGTACTTGGCCCGTATCGACGAAATGCACAGACGATATTACGAAAGGAAAGAATAGAGCGTCATCTCTGCGTTGTCGTAGTAATACGTCTACATTACGTATATATAATATAATACGTATTTATATTCCCTCGGTGAAAATGAATTATTTATCGGTGGCCGATAAATATTTAAATCGTGGCATTCCTTGTACATCAAGCGAATAATGATTAGTGTTGGTAGTTTTTAAAATGCATATAGTTAATTTTAATTTTTAAGTGAAAATCTTTGTACTCATTTAGATATAGTATTTGCTTATATTTTTTTTACATAATATGCATGTATATATTATATATAAAGAAGTTATGTATTTATTTTATATTTATATGGTATTTTATATTAATATTATGTTTTTGGTGTGTGGGTTTTATTGACAATAATTATAATAATATTATGTCCTTATTGAAGTGGTGCTGCAAATTATTCATTTTTGTTTAAAATTATAGATATGACAAATTTAATATTGTAAATCATGAACCATGACTTATTTAAAAGTTTATTCACAGGTTTAAAAATTAAATGAGTTTATATAAATTCCATGCTAATGGAGCATCTATATTTTTTATTATAGTTAATAAAAGTAATAAAACTCCAATAATTCATGTTATTTTAAAATTAAATGAGTTTATATATTTTCATCAACATGTCAAATAAATATATTCTATCGAACAAAAATTTAGGTTTTAAAGTTGTATTAATCACGGTCTTTTATATCAATTATAATTTCATGAAAAAACAAATAAATTTGAACATTAAATGAAACCTTTTAATTATGAAAGTATATTCCTAAAAATAAACGTTTACCATAGGTACCTAACAAATGATGATAAATTAAAAAATAGAAGTCTGCATTGTATGTTCAAATAATAGGCAAAACTTGGTTTGATTAAAATGTTTGTTGAATAAATTGTTTAATTGAAATCTAAAGCTTAATTGCAGTTTGTATGGTATTATAATTGTATGTTATAATTTATTATTGATAGAAAATACAATTCATTTCAATGTTTAATAAATGTAAAACCTTACAAATAATGGGGTGACTTCTAAATCTTAACATTTAAACTACTTATTGGTCATAATTCATAATTAGTAGACGTATAAACTATAATTTTAAATTGTGTACCAAATATTTACTTTCTTTGATTGTAAGTATTCCTGGCCATGTATTGTTTAACGGTGGAGCATGTACTTATTGCTCTTTTTATCGGGAACATTAGGGACAAAAAAGTATTCCATAATACTTCGTATCAATGCAACACAAAACTTCAGAGCTATACTTTGCTTAGTGCACACGTGTTTTTTATAGTACTTAAGATTTTTGTTAACTTAATGATTTCATAAAATTTATGTTATCTCATGTTATAACTATGAGAATAACAATATTTACTAGCATAGGTACCAACMAAATATATGATGTAACATATAATTTAAAATTTGAACAGAATATGTATAGCTTAGTAGGTGTATGAATAATTGGTAAAATGTAGGTAAAATATTATACTATTATACAGAATTAAATTAAATCGTAATTATCTTGTAAAATAATAATTGTAATGTTTAATTTCAACGAAGATAGTAGTTTGTCACTATTCTTATTCTTATTAAAAAGTTCTTAGAAARAATCCGTTGTATTTGTTTTTGAATTCTGTATGCATCATTGAGTAGATTAATAATAAATAAACCATCACCTAATACATAACTCATATATCTCGATTCAGCATTATATATCTGGTGATTGACTTGAATGAGTGGTAGTTGGAAAAAATCCCCTGTACACAAATCAAGACAATATAATGCGAAGTGTACGTTTAATCTAACTAATTTCTAAGAATTATTTTATACTTTTTCTAATATCATCTAGATTGAATATAAAAATATGAGAAATAAAATTGAGGTTTGTATGTTAAACAATTTTTTGAATACGTACGTATGCCAATTATTCCCTACTTTTTCTATTAGAATGAGATTGATATTGATTTTATAATCATTTTACTGATGAAAATCACTAGCTATAGTAAATCTCATGAGTGTCAGAGTGTACAATAAGATCATCAGTCATCACATGAGGCACGGCTTGTTTTGTTCCTACAAAAATCACGATATTATTAGGTATTAAAGTACCTTTTATTTTATTTTTTCATTTTTGAACCGATGACTTTGCTGGTCACTTTGCTGGTCACGCAGTCACTCTGCCTGCCATTATAGGTACCACTATACTAACTAGAAACGGTAATTTTTTAATACATATCTTTGATTGTCGAGGAATTGTAATAATACCTAAATCATTTTTGTTATTGACTTCCATTTTTATTAATATTTAGACTTAAGCTAAGCTGGATTTACCACTACAATGATGTAACATCAAACATGCGTTATTAGTTATTATATATAAAATATAAATTTATTATACTTAATTATTGATCACAAAACTGTTATTAGTACCAATAGTACCCGCTTATACCTATAAATTATATTAAGTTAATATGTTATATGTATAATATTTTATTTTATTATTGAAATAGTTAGTCTAGTTAGTCACCTACTTGGTTTATATGAAGCGCAATAGTAGAATTCTTTAAAAAAAAGGTTAATGTGACAAAATAAATCAGGAAAAATAAAATGAGAAATACTAAACAATATACATGATTAAAAAAAAAAGGCGGGTAAGTCGTGTATGTCGCTCTGCTGTACAGTAGGTTACAAGTGGGTTACTGTAATGGATGGAATTAAATTTGAATCCAATGATATTATATAATTGTATACGAAAAACGATTCGGAGCTAAAACGGTTTATCTGTCTAGGATATATTATAGATTATTAAAAATTTTCTAATCTTAGATTTAAAAAGAAAATTTTTTAATAATTTCTAGTTTAAAATAATTTGCGAATTTTCGTGATTTTTACATATGTTGTCAAAATTCAAACTTTGAATGCTTGTAAAAAAAAATTGTGCCAATATATTTATATATTTCTTTTATATTTCACCTGCTATTGTAAAAATATGTTAGGAGCCTTATATAAAATTTAAATTTCTTAGATATAAAAGGAACATTTTTTATGAATTTCTATCTAAGATAATTTGAACATTGCGGTAATTTTTACGTATTTAGTCAAAATATGAATTTTAAATGCTTATAAAAAAAAATTGTGACTATGAATTTCTTTTATTTTTCAACTGCTATTGTAACAATATGTTAAGAGGCTTGTATTAAATTTTCAAGCTTTTCTGCCTAACAAATAAATTTGTATTAATATCAATTTTAAAAAAACTAATAATGATTGAAAATTTCAAATGCCTATGAATAGTTCAACTAAAGTCGAAATTTTTTCAAAATTGCATGGTGGATAGAATATACTTATATAAACATTCGGTGAAATTTTCATGTATCTATGGTCATACATTTTAAAGTTACTTCAAAAACCAAAATCGATTTTGTCGAAAAATGAGTGTGCATAAAATTTCCCGTTTTTCCCTTCTTTTTTAGTTTGTTTTTCTCGAATATTTAGAAAATTATTGAGAATTTTTTACTTTTGACTTCCCAAAGTACCAACTAGATTCACTTTCTGATCGAACGAGGTACTGAAGTCAAAAATCGAAGCATTTTTACTGCCTCAAAACGTGATGACAGACACACACAAAAAAAAAAACACACACACATCATGGTAAAATCAATACATTCATCGCTCCGCTCAGAATCTAAAATACAAACATATTAACTTGCCTATTTGAAAAATTATGCAAGTAGGTGTTTGATACAACGTTATTGACTTACTTCTATCTTATTTAAGAATCAGTCTAAAAGGTTAAAAAAAAAATTATTTAGAACAGAATATCGATTCATATAAAAAACACATAATTTCGAAGTTGGCTATCGAAATTATCCATCTAAAATTAAAATATAAAAAGTATAAACTGAATCAAGTTTTGGGTTATAACGTTGCCAGTCATAATTTTATGCATTTATGCAACATATTAGCACTTACTACACGTTAAATATAAATAACAAACAGAAATTAAATATTTGTTAACAGTTGGTAGCGTCTTATCCGTTCATTTCCAAGACATTGCGAGACGCTGGTCGCACGTCTGTCCCGAGTACGAGTCACTGTTGCACGGCTCAACTTCAAAAAAACGGCACCGGTTACGATGACCTCAACGATTTACTGGCGGAACCGGCGGATTTGGAGTTCACTATAGGTTTTAAAAAATTATTGATACAATAACATTGATAGCACACCAACACCAGTTACATGCTAGTGTTTGTCACCTGTTTTATTATGTATCGGTTGTTCTCTTATTCTAAGGATTTTTTTAAATTTCCCAAGTGAAATGTCGATGTTTGATCATTTTCATGAAGAAGGAGGGGGTAGTAGTGAGATAGGCGTAAGTATTGTATGGAAATGAGAAATTTTAATGTTTCATGATGTCATACCATAAAAACGAGTCAGGGAAAAAAGGCCACGGGAAACAAAACCAAATTATATTTACTTATCATCTGTAAAAATTAATTGTATTATTAATTAGGTGTTGCTCGTGGGAGATATTTGTTTTTTTTATAGGTAGATATGTATATGTTTATACCATACCTAAGTATTTCTACTTATTATAGTTATATTGTATATATAACAATAGTAATGAGTAACGATAATGAATTTCTACGAAGAAAATTGAATAGTTTTTCTTTACATTGTTCTTGGCATCCATTTATTATCTATTATTCATAGAGTAATAAACTTTACAGGATATTACTACTTACATATCTGACTATCTCATTTTAAAAGGACGTTATATACCTTAACGCGGCAAATTTCACGTTTATCGGATCTCGTTTAGCTCCGTTAGTTTAAAAACTAGAGTGAACTAGACCTCTTATAAAATTTAGAGCATTATACATATACGACGTCATCGGCTTTTTATTATATTTTAATTTTGGAGCTAGTTATAAGAATTTTAATTTGTTTACATCTTAAAATACTTATAACTCACTTCAAAATCGAAATAAAGTAAAAATCCCGTTTAAATAGTAATCTTACCTTTAAATTTTATTAGAAGTCAATTCACATTAATTTTTAAACTATAACGGAGTTGAACGTGATCTGCTGAGCGTATAATTTGGTATGCTACGCGCTTGTAAGACGGAGACAACACATATGCGGGTATGACGTCCTCTTAAGTTACATGTATAATAGATGTATATAAAAACAATATAAAATGTGAAAAAAAAATCCAAACCCAAATCAGTGTTTAATATTTGTTTTTGAGTGGACTTTATCAAGGGTCCCTATTAAGTCGGGGGACCCAAAGTTTCACTTTGTCTGCTTACCCGGTATTTGCGCCACTGTTTTGAACCCTTCCCCCTCCACACACACACACACACGAGTAATAAACTTCTTGAGTATACTAATGAGCATTAACGTTTGATTTAATGCACAAATAGATTTGTTGAAGATCGAGGATCCTGGTTCATTCGAAAAGGAGACTTGGCTTCTGGACGAAAATGAAAAACGAAGTACGATTCCTGAACTCAAAGAGGCCGGTAACGAGTTTTACCACAAAGGTAAATACAAAGAAGCCGAAGAAAAATACATGTTGGCTCTCGGATTCTTGGAACAAATCATGATGAAGTAATTACCTGATTACTAATAATATAGGAAATCGCCTGTACATTTTTTTACTACATTAATAGTTTATATTTTCATATAGTAAGCCCGATGTAAATATCTATACAAAATACTAATTTATATTATTATTATCTCGAAGACTCAAACCGCATGAAAAGGATTGGGATGAATTGAACAAAATAAAAACTCCACTGTTACTTAATTTGGCACAATGCAAGCTTATTTCCAAGGATTATTACCAGGTCATCGAACACTGTACATCAATTTTGGAGGACGATCCTGGTACATACATTTTATTGTCTGTTATAATCTACTGCATCAGTTCGGAATTTCGAAACATAATTAAAGTATTGTAATGGTTGTTTATTCTCGTCCAGATAACGTCAAAGCATTATTCAGGCGTGGGAAAGCAAATATATCAGTGTGGAAAATGGACGAAGCCAGAGAAGACTTGAAACATCTTTCGACTCTCGATCCTAGTATGCAAGCTTCAGTCAACCGATTGCTTTGTCAAATTAACGAAGCATTGAAGATAAAAGACGACGAAGATAGACAAAAATTAAGGGGAAAACTATTCTGAAAACGGGGGGTTTTTTTTTTTAATTAAAATATGACATTAATGTTTTAATAGTATATATTATAATTTCGGGTTGCTTTTTACTGGACACGTGACACATTTATTATTCGTGTTTTAGGTATTCATAAACAAAATATAAACAATCTTTGCATTGTTTAAAACAATGTCAGTTTAATATTTGTTGTCTAAGGAGACAACTTTGTTGTCTTAGTTGTAGGAAAAATTATATTTTAATTTTAATATTTATTAGCTAAAATATTAAAATATAGGATCCACGCATAATCTTAAATTTACGAAGAAAGTGAATCTAACACGGTGCCGTAAGAAAGTTTTTTCAATATTTTATTTTTCAAGCATAGTTATAATCAAATTAAGTTAATAATAGTTGATCCTTAAAATGTCCTTAATATTTCAACTGTAACAGAAGACCTAGCTCTATGTATAGCAACTGAATTTACACCTTTTGACAAAAAAAGGTTTAATAGTTCTTGTGCTTACMTCCTTTGAGAAGTTAGACTATAAAATAGAAAATGTGAAGAACTTTTTTGCTGCAATTTCTATGACACATTTCATAAAATCCATATAAATTATCTCAAAGAAGTTTCTCTTGTATAATTCTATACTTATATTATAATATCCATGTAGGATATATAATCTTTAAATTTAGTTAAGAATAGGTAAATAAATTTATATTTTCTTATAGATTTTATTTTCTTATAATATATAATATAAATATTTAGGATTTTAACTCATAACATTGATTTTCAAATAAATCATTAAATGTTATGATGTAAGTATTAAATTTAAAATTACCCGGAGGAGCCGGTTACGCAGATTCGAGTGGGCCAAAAATACGATCTTTCAGACTGAATAGTATGGTATCGTAGGTATAGGTACACTTATATTTTAATTTCGTCTGATATATTAGTATATTACACGGAAAGCTCTTATAACACTGATGTACTCGATGTTAACTCTAACCGTGAAACACTATACTTAAACTTGTCAATTTCTTATGTTAACAATTTATAGTTTAATTATTTCTACATAATTTATATTTATAAATTTTACAATAACGGAAAAGTGATAATTAAACCATTATTAAGAATTACGATATTTATAATTACCTACTTATCTATACTTATCATCAATTTAAGTTTAGAGTGGATAATATTACCAAATTCCATTGCAATATGTTATTTTCATAAATTGTTACAAAAGTTTATTACTAACTTATAAGAAATTCTATTTATTAGTAGAAATATTAAATTACGACATGTCGACATTATACAGTTATATTATTTTAAATATTTTGTACGATTTTCTTGTTAATAAAATCTTATACGTATACTAAAATGTTGTATAATTACTTGAATTTGTATTGAAATATATGAATAAATACATTGAAGTTTATTTTGTTACAAGAAAATTTGTTTTTTTTTATTAGTCTCTGTTATCATCCACGGCAGGGTTTCGGTGTGGCGATTTTCGAATCGTAAAACAACTCTACCTACCTATTTTGTAGGTATATTATATTTTATTTTATTATAGCGGAGGTTTGGACTACTGGGATGAGACGGTAAAAGTCCTTGGAAAGCTCATCGTTTTGTTATAACACTGGACCGACTGTTCAGTGATTAAAAATGAATTGATAATAGTTAACTGTTTATCTGCATTATTATTTGTTTTATTACTTTTTCGGCTGCACTTATAAATAGTATAATATGTTAATATGTAAAAATGAGTTATGTTTTATTTTTATAAATTTTTTTTTGATATTTAATTACATAATTCTAATATTCTAAATCTATTTAATTCTACTCCTTTTGTTAACAGCCCGCAGACTAGTTGACAGAAATTTTCCACTTCTAACGCTTCTCCGATTTTCTTTTTAATTCGCAATAAGATCTGCAGTCCACATCTCTTTCTATTTGACTAATATATGTACCTAGTCCAGTGGCGACCGTCCCCTTTTGTTACTCCCCTCAAATGCCCCTTCATAATCTTCCTAAGTACACTGTTACATATATGGCACAGTATACGTGTCCACTTAACTTGGTTCTTTTTGTTTTTAACGTCTTTAACAGGCTTCTTGCTTCTCCAGTTCTTCGATAAACTTCTTTATTTGTTACATGCTCTACCTAGCTTATTTTATAAATAGCTTTCTGTTACACCATGTCTCGAATATTTGGAGTCTTTTTTTTCTGCTTTATCTACAGTCCATCTCTCGCTCTAAACATAATATGTGTTATAATGTTATATAACAATATATATAGACATATTTATGTAACAAATATATTTTTCTCACTCTGAAATCCACGTTTATATTTGATATACTTTTCAAACTATATATAATAACTAGAACGCTCACAGCTCGTATGATAAATAAAGTATGTCAGAATGTTAGAAATATATGGTGAATACTTTAGGTATTTTTATTTCTATCTTTATTGATAATACGCCGTATCGTATTCACTTTTCATTTTTTCAATGCTAACCGTTACCTATAGAGTTGGATTTTTTTATACAAACATATGTTTGAGAAATTTCTCGTGGATTTGACTTTATTTTTGAAATTTCATGGGAACTGGATGTTGCTCCGAATTTGTTAATTTTTTGTGTAGTCATTTATGGTATGTGAAAATTTATTCCTGTTCTTTTTTAATTGACAGGCAAAATAATGTGTCTAAATATATCATAAATCCTCTCTAAAACTAAGTTTCAAACATCGAATGTCAGGTTGTTCAACAGTTCTAGCGGCAACATCCATGCAATTCAACCATAAAACATAATTTTTTTAAATTTATTTAATTTTAATTGTTTGAACATAATCTTTGTTTTTACAATTTTATAAAACATTGTCATTTTTTTTTCTGATTGAACCGACGACGCCGCGGGAATTGCTTTCGCATTACTGCCACGACGCCGCCATCAACACATTGTCATTTACCTCATTCAATAAGAACCCTAAAAATAAGTTACCAAAAGGCTTTAAATAAAAATTTTTTTAAACAATTTCATATTGCAAAACCTCTTTATTTGTGTATACATTGTTTTGGGTCATGTCATTCTCCAAAACGAGTTGCAATTTAAAATACAAATATCAGTCATGTTTTTTTGCTTCTTGAAACGCATTTGCCTGGAGTCACCAGCTGTGCATCCTTACATCTGTTTTAAATAATTTTAACGTAGTTTATTTTTTTATTTTAAATTTTTTAATTTTAAACTGCTAATCTGGTACCTACTCTCTTAATATTTATTCTTTTACAATCTAGTTATTATGAACATTATTAGTTTACTATAATTTGGAGATTACAGATATATTTATCTTCGGGTATCATTACAGAATTCATCTCCTTAATCTTAGCCATACAAAGAAAAAAATTCCTCTTCCATATAATATAGCAATGTATCTCCAGTTATATATAATTAGATAAATTTTGTTTTCAATACAGAGGATATTCACACTTCACAGAAATTATAGGTAATGTTGCTTAGTCTAGTTTGACTCATTGAATTTCTCAAGTAGTCTTTTAAATGTTCATTTTTAAACTGCTGGTTAGACTTGTTTTTTTAAAAGTCAATAAAAGATAGGATAGATGGGGTTTTTTTTTTTTTTTTGAATGACAAATTGATATAGGTAATAGAGTACTCAAAAAATAAAACTATCAAAAGTACAAAATAACATAACTAAAAGTCGTAACCAGTAACACTGCACCAAGACGTGTCCGTAAAATGTGAATCGTAATCTGTTTATTTGGTTTGTCCGACCGTACGAGATACTGCACTAGCKCGATTTCGGTTCTACTGCGCGAGCGTCCTGCAGATGAAGATTAATAAATATTAGTACGATAATACGAAAATAGTAAACGAATATTGGAATATACGTTTTAGACGTTTTAGTGTTGAATGATAAATAGTTTTAATGTATTATCTAAAATTCAAACTGTCAAAATGTCCAAAATAAATGGTGTCCACTTGTCGGTAACATCTTAAAATAATCAATTTTATAATCTTAATTGTACAAAGTTGAACAATTTAGGACTTCAATCTAAGGTCCCTAGTACAACTTTGGTCTTGAGGCCTCGGTGTAATGCACCCCCTGAAACCCCGCTAAACCCGGCACTAATTGCAATAATGTTATAGAAATTTTTTTTGGAATTCAGTGAAATATGGTAAAAGTGTAAATAATGTTATATTAACGCATTAGCTAAGTAATTCGTAGTTGGCTACTGCGTAATAATTATCTATACTTAGACCATATACTATAACTTATACTCTAGTAAGAGTTTCAGTTATTCAGGATAATTCTTTATCTACCCACCTGGCACCCACACACAATTGTAGGTGGTTCAAATGCAAACACCTTAAGTCAGTGGCATATTTGAGGGGAAGGGGGTTGCGTGATGATTACCACCCCAAGGCCTTTTTTTTTACTTGAATTATTATAGCGCTGTATGATGATATAATGTCAATGAATATGAAATTCGTAAGACAATCTATGATACCAATTCGCTCCATCCTTAAATAATGATCTTCGGATCCGCTACTTCCTTAAGTACATACTCGGAGCAACTGAATTTATTTATTCCCATAGAAACCGAAAACCGTAGAAATGCAGAAATAGAATGATAAGTTTTGAATTTATATTAATAGATAACATGTACTATGGTCGAAAACTTAAAAGATATTAGATGTATTGACAATTGACATATATAATATAGTTAATATAAATTATTGTAATTACCTATAATATAAATATATTAAAATATAATACTAAACCTATATAGGTACCTAATTCTTTATTTCGGTTGTCTTGGAGACACATTGTAAATATTTACCACTGCTATATAGTACGAATAAATGCGTTAAAAAAATACAATTTGTGTTATAATAATGTAGGTTATACCTACATACGATGGTTACTAAGGAAATGGAATTGTTGAAAATATCGACTAAACATCTATAAAAACAAGTATAATTTGATAAAATTACTTAATTTTATTATAATTAATCGATCCTTAAAGTTATATAGTAGCCAATCAGTAGGTATATATGATGGATATCATATCACAAAATGAAGTTGATTTTTTCATTGATCATATTAAGGAATCAAAACTCAATGAGCTTGGATCAAAAATGTAATTCAATTCATTTTTAAATATTAGCAATATTGATTTACAAAAAAAAAAAATGTTTATTGTAGATGGTACGATAGTCATGATCGTTTGCAAAAACTTAACCAACAAGCTACATTTGATGCTACTGAAGGTCGAGAAGAATATATTAAGGACCAACTCATCAGTTACGGAAAAGTAGTTAAACCTTAACAATAGTGCCTGAATATCGGATAAAAATGTTATCTCGCAATAATTTTGTACTTTTAAGGTTCCTGTTATTGTACATGAAGCAATTTGTGTAGCAATATGGAGGGAAAAAGTACTTCCAGAAGTACTAGGTATTATATCAAATCCTACACAATCATTCACATTATATTTTGTCGTAAGTTTTTACTATATTTTTTTATATTATTCAGATCTACTATAAATTCTATCGGCTAAACTGGATYCTTCCAATTATTTTCTTGAATATCATATTATAGCCACTTTATGTCTATATCATATTATATAGAAATTATAAAGTTTAATAAAATAAAACAAAAGTTTAATCTTTCTAATCAGCATTCAGTTAAAAATCCAAGCTTTTTGAAAAATGTTCTTATTGCATATTTGGAGGAAATATGGATTTTTCGTTTTATACCATACTTCATTAAATATAGAAACTTTAGTTTGCTTAAATATGTTTTAAAAAAATATACCTACATTTTATTTTTCATAATGCCCAAAAAAATAGTTTTCAAATACTCATAACTATAAACAATTATTGCAATTGTCACCAAATATTTATGTAAACATTTCCCATGTATTATGGAAACATTTTCGAAATATTATGACTTGGTGGGCTATTTAAAGCCTTGAACATTTTTTCAAATTTTGTTATTGTTTTAAAATTATTGTCGATAAAAACATATTTACTTAGTTAAAAGGCTTGAAAATTTAATGCAAAGGTCCTCATAAAGTGATTTAATATAGCAGTACTTATTTTAGATACACACAAGCACGCGTGATTATACCTATGCATTTAAAGTTCAAATTCCAGCAAAATTCATTAAAATCCTAAAAATGTCCATAATATTTTCAGTTCGAAATGTATAAAAGTTTTTTTTTGTAGCTGACATTAGAAATTTTAGTAGAAAATTCTCCACACGTTTTTCAACCTTAATCCAAAAAAAGTTCGCTGGAAAGTGCAGTTTATAGCTATGAGATATTTTAGATTTTTATCATATTTTTTTAAAATTATTATATTTGATTATTTAATATTTATAAAAATGTATATGCTGCTATAGGATAAGATAACTTCTCCGTTCAGAATTATTTTTTCTTAATATGCAATGAATTATCTATTTATCATTTAATTTAAATTTAACATGATATACCTACAATGGGGCGTAACACGTTTCCACCAAAAGTAGACCTTTCCCTTTTCTGCCRGTATCTACCCATTTCCACCAAAGGTGTATCTTTCCCTTTTCCACCAATATCCGTTACCACCAAATGAGATCTGCCTATAATTTAACCACGGTTAATTTACCAAAATAATTTGTATACTACGCTTAAATTAAAATGTTTAATACAGTAATAAGTTTAGTGTATTTAGTTATGTATAATATTATATTGTATCTACTTATATATATAATTGGTTAATATTTATTTTTTCAATCGTAGAATATAGTAGTATACAATTGCTTTTGTAAAAACGTGGTAAATAATATTATTTGATGGAAACAGATATTGGTGGAAAAGGGAAAGATACACTTCAGGTGGAAAAGGGAAAGGTACACTTTTGGTGGMAACGGGTATCGCCCCTACGGCCCTACAATGACATGTCCGACAATTACAGAAGGTAAGCTGAGCGTTACCTACTTGCCCATATTTTTATATACATAAACATAATAAATTTTATGTTTCATAAAAAATATTATTAATTTGTACATTATAAAATATTTCTAGAATGAAAGCATTTTAACAATAATACATACCTATAAAAGTATTGAATCTTGAAACATTTAGTTTCGTGTAGCCCCTTGGATCTAGTTTAGTTTAAATAAATTTGTTTTTATTCAAAATTGTTCTKAAATAATACTATTTATTTTTTGAAAGATTGTACTATCAAACATTTCATTTTTAATTAGAAATTATTATTTTAGTTGTTTCATGAAACTGTGGCGATTGGATTGTTACAAAAGATACTATTTCACGAGGAAGGTGTTCAGTCACTAGGAAATTATGCTTTGGATCTGTTTGACCATATTATATTTTCAATTACCCATATAGCCATTGGGTACTGTAAATTAAAATACTTAATTATTTTTTATGTATATAATTATTTTTTTGTGGGTTTAGGAAAACAAATAATTTTCAAATCTCCTCAAAAATATCTGATACGTCAGTAGTGGATGAAATAGTTGAACATAAACATAAAATACAATTTGAAGTGGGAATTGGTTGTATTGGCATATTGTTTAATATGTTACTACACATAAAAAAGTAAAATGATAATATATTATTTATATATACACAGCCAAATTAAAATATTTTAATACAATGTGACCAATCAAATTTATATTTAAAAAAAATGTAGTAATTAACTTATTTATATAAATATTTAATATTTATGAATGTATATCATAGCCTATCGTTATCTGTTACTACAAGAATGACAACTAATAATGATGTACCAATGTTAATATGTCAATTATTAAATGTAAAACCTTGGATAAAGTTGGAAAACGATAAAAAATATATTTTTCAAGGTAGCTCAAAATCACTATGAGTAACCAACTTTTTAAAAATTATTTTAATTTATATTTACTTGAAGTGCATTTTCAACAGATAATTCATGGAAAATAATGGATGAAAAAGAAAATATTGTACCGAAACAAGAAGCTCATTTATGGTTAAGTCTACACGAATTTTTCACGTCAGAACAACTACGTAACAGTTATGAAATTACTCAATTTCGAAAAAAAAATCTTATGCAGGTATATGTATAATAAGAAACTTGGATTGTAGTTCACACAAAAAATATAAAAAAAAATCTCTATGTATAAAYAACAAAGTATAATGCAGACTATTTTTTATGCAATATATTTTTCGATCGGTCAAAAACTTAAAAATTTGATTCAAATGATAGCCAATAGGTTCCTAATAAGTTGTGGAAATTAAAAAAAAAATAAGGGAGAATTCTAATTATTTGTTGTTAAAATTATATGCAATTTTCAAATTTATAAACTAAAAACCGGGAAAGTGGATGTCGCTCTGCTGTACAGTGGGTTACTGTAATGGATCATAATTAAATTTTAATCCAATGATATTATATCATTGTATACGAAAAACGATTCTGAGCGAAACGATTTATCTGTCTAGGATATATTATTATAGATTATTAAAAATTTTCAAATCTTAGATTTARAAAGAAAAAATATTATGAATTTCTAGCTCAAAATAATTTGTGAATTCCGTGATTTTTACGTAGATTGTCAAAATTCAAACTTTGAATGCTAATAAAAAAAAATTGTGACTATGTATTT